CCTACTTATTCTGTACAGAATAAAATCTCCTTCTACCTTGGCTTCCACGACTCCTATCTTCTTCTAAGGAACCGGGCCTGGAAGATCGCAGTAGTTAGGGTTTACCGGCTTATCCTTAACTCCTTTGTGATAATGTCAATAAAGTATTGGCTTACAAATCCAAAATACCGACCAAAAGGATTTTCAGGAGTGAGTAGAGGCATTTCTCGTTCCGCGGATTCATCAGCGGCAACAGAGAACGTCGACGGCCGCGTTGCTACCTCAACTCGAAAAGCCTCGTAATGGGCCCGCTTTCTGTGCTATATACGTTTATTTATGGTGCTCCGATGGAATCCATAGTAGAAACACTCAATATTTACTTACAACAGAAAATAAATGAAACATACTTCGGTCATTTCTGAACGCATACTACAAAGTTGGCTACAAGAAGTAAATTAGTGATTTATAATACAGTGGACGTAAAAGTGGCTACTGCAGCTCACCTTCAACAAATGGCAAGTAAACCGCTTACAGTCTAGTCGCAGAAGGGTGATATCATTCGAGGTCACCAACTCGGGCTAGTGAAAGAACTACGGGATCTAGGTGTATGCATGATGCCCAACCACAAACCGTCAACTCACTGCGCTAAAACCGCAAAGAAGGCTACGGGCATCCTAGGAGCGATCAGAAAGTCCTTCCTCTATTTTGATGAGAAGCTTTTTGGGCGAGTCTTCTTGACATATGTTCGGCCGATGTTAGAGTATTGCTTCCAGGCGTGGTACCCCTGGATGAAGAAAGATTACACAATGCTTGAGAAAGTCCAAAGAAGCGCGACTAAGCTAGTTAGCAGCTTAAAATGTCTCCCATATGAAGATCGTCTAGATAGGCTCAATCTTTTACCCCTCTATTATAGGCAATACAGAGGAGATATATATATATATATATATATATATATATCAGGTGTCTTCATACTCATTTAGAAACTATTCTATGTCGTTTGAACCCCGTCCTTCCTGTTACGCCTACTCTTGCTGTCGCTATTTCGACAGCCACCCAACTGATATTTCCTCATGTTTCATTTAAAAATTTCAGCCGAGATGTCGAATGCCTCGTTTAGTTTTTTCTGTGTCTAACCCAGAAGGAAAGGCAGTAAATACGGAGTATTATTAGGGGGGGAGGGGTTTGGCAGATTTGAATAATTGGATTGACCCAATTATTAAAAATTTGTCGCATTGGTAAGATTCAAAGCTCAGTCGTAGCTGAATGGTGGAACATTGGCTGTAAAAGCCTTCCCTGCTAATTCTTCGAATTCCACCGCGGCTGCGAATTTTCCCAATCGGGTCAGTTGAGATACTGATACTTCTAATTTTTGATTGGCAGTCACTACGACCTTCAGATTACAACGTAGACCAATGAAACTGCAAATGCCTCTTCCCACCGTTTGTCTCGTGACTGTTAATCCGGCTTGTGCACTTTCGTATACGAAAGTCCTATAGGACTCTGTTAGATTAATTTGCATAAAATGGTTTTCGAGTCCCTGGTTGCCGATGTTATCAATCGGTTTCTCGGGAGCTACCTCGAGAAACTGAATGCCTCCCAGCTAAGATTGGGTCTTCTGTCAGGTTTGGTCTTTTCATTTGTTGAACACATTCTCGTAAGGCAACGTGGTTTTGGAGAACGTTGCTGTTCGGACCACTGCTTTTGATGACTTATCTTTACCAGTGCGTGTACTCCATGGACATATTGGTATGTAAAATAGCTTGCTTTACCTTTTAGGTCGCCTCACTCTTCAAATTCCTTTTAAAAATCTCTATACCGAACCCGTAATTGCCGAATTGGATGGTTTGCATATTCTAGCCGTCCCAAATTCCGGTACGTTTATCTAAAACGTACAGCTTACAGTGACAGAAATGGAATACGACGAAGAGAAGGAGCGTCTTTACCGGCGCGAGGCTAAACAGAAAACATTGGCCGCTGTTGATGCAATGAAACTGAAAACAGATACAGGTTTGAGAGTTTCGTTTTAACTCAAACTTTAGTCCCTGATGATGTCCCTGATTCCTTTTTGGAAAAGCTCGCCGCACAAATAATAAAAAATGTTCAGGTTAAGATCGAAAATATCCATATTCGATACGAGGACAAAGTTTCTGTTCCCGGACTCGTGTTTTCGGCTGGTTTAACTTTAAAAAAGCTGGCATTTCAGGTAATTCTGAGCTCGTAGTGTCGATTCTTTAGACTTGTGACCATGCGAAAAATCCATTATCAATCAAGGATGAGTCTGTTAGAGAATTCTACAAGGTACTCGAAATTTTGTCATTGATCTCGTTAGAATGTTGAACTAGACTCATTGGCGGTTTACTGGAATCACAACTCAAAGCTTTATTCTAATCTCGCCCGTGGTGTCCTTCGCGTAAATCTTTTAAATTAATAACTTGTGGTAGAATGTTATGGAGTCCACTATAGCCAGTCCCGAACAAAAACCGTCCGCCTTCGACTACAGTAATTTTTCCTTTAATGCATCATCCTCTCTTGGTAGTAATTCAACCAATTTCTTTCGATGCGCTTCTCCATGTGCATATGCAGCCAGAGAAAGTCAATTTTAAGGTCCCACAGCTATCAGTGGATGTGAAGTTTGAGGAGATCGAAGTTTCCCTGCAGAGAAATCAGTATACGGGTGCTATTTTGTTCTTGGATTCAATCGACAGAATGATTCTACAAAACAAGTTCCGGAAATACAAAAATTCATCACAGTTCAGAAAACCAAGCATCCATCGGTATGTACACCCAGCACCTCAGTTAAACTCCCCTACAGATTTTAATAAATATGACGCTTATCTCTCTCTCTCTCTTTTTATTATACTGCTACTGTGTACTATATCATATTATACCATCTTTCAGATGGAATTATGCCTATTCAGTTGTACTTCATGAGGTCGTCCTTCGACGTCGGAGAATGTGGGACTGGTCCTATATTAAGCAGCATAGAGAGATGGTAAAACACTACATTGAACTTTGGACCAAAAAACTATCAAAAGAAACCCTTAAACCTGACGAACTTGCGAAAATCCAGGTAAAATACCAGCTCCTGCAATGTTCATCTTGTGGAATACCATATTTTGTGACACGCTATTAATTTAAAGTAAATTCTAGTGATCTGAGTGAGCATTTGTCAGAGTTGTATATTATTTGGATAACTTCCTTCTTATACGCTTTCCTGCAGTTTTATGAAGACGAGCTAGACGTCTTAAATTTGACACTCGCCCGGCAGCAGGCGGAGCTCAAGGTACGTTATCACTCGTATTTAAAACTTTTTTTCATCAAACTCTTCGCTGCCTGGTAGCTGCAACTTATCCTGATTTATTCTGTCTTATTCCGCCATTTTATAGAAGTTGTGGATGACTTTCATCTACATGCAAACTTTTGCGGGTTCACCGCAGCTTTTTAGTGTTCATCCTTACTAAAAAAATTCATATATTTTGGAGGGCTGTATTTTTAGAAAAAAAAAGACTAATTATTTGATCAGATGCAGTTCCTACTTCCTTCTTTCACTTTTGTCCGACTTTCAAGACACATTCCAAGAAAAAGGTAAGAAGTGTTGTCTGTAGCACCTTTACTTCACATCGTCGACACAGTCAGGTTGCCCTTCGCTAAACTTCACCAAATATATTTCTTAAATGCACGCACCACAAGTTAAGCGATAAAGGCTATCCACACAACACGTCCTTTACAATTTTCAGTTTTATCGTTTGATCATACGAACAGTGTCGCTGAATCATGCACAACCGCAGTTTCCCTTTAACCATTTTTTGAACAGCACCCTTTTTTATTACATTAACAAAAACTGTCCTCACTACCCATCAATTTGGCGAGTGTTTCACTTACACACAACCGCACTATTTATCAGCTCTTCTGGTTTGGGTTTGTCTGCCTTGCTTATTCACCATATTTACCCCATGCAGAAGGCTTGGAAGAAGTTCCATCGGGTAAGAAACTCTACTGTAACCTAGCTGTTGTTTGAATGTGTCGTGTTGTCTAGCTGGCTTTTGTTGTTTGGGAAAAAATGGTGGCGTGCCTATCGCTTTTCGTCGGGTTGTAAGTGTATGCTGTGAGTGTGTGCTTTCATGTGTACGAATTACTTAATGGCTGCTCCTTCTCAGAAGCAAATGAGTATTGCAACGATGCTTGTTATCTAAATTCTTTTGGCCGAGCCCTTTAAGGTAGTTGATTCAACCACCATAGATTGCAATAATCTACTTGTGACAGCTGGCATTTGCAGTACCTTTTTATTAACTAATGTAGTCTTAACTTTCGCCGCCTTTTAGGAATCTACCACCATTTACCATCTTGTGCACAATCTCTAACGATTTTAGGTTCTATCGGTTTTCCCAACCCTACTTAACTGCTGAATCGTTTTCTGATGAATATTAAACTGCACTAGTGAGCTCAGCGAACACCACAAAATGTCAGTTAACTATTTCTGGTTTACAATCCTCATCTAACGGTACACTCTCCTTCAAGGCTGAGCATTTTTGAAGTCTAGAATAGAATCGTTTGCTCTGCGAGACGGATCGGAAGCCTTCTATTCTTTTATATCTATAATTCTTGTGTGTACGTGTGTGCCTTTCTATCGCCTTTTCCTCGCACTGAAGGCTGCCAAACGGAAGGCTCAGGAAGCGAAAAAGTCTGGTGGCTGGTTCAGCGGTTGGTTCTC